CTCTCTCTCTCTCTCTCTCTCTCTCTCTCTCTCTCTCTCTCTCTCTCTCTCTCTCTCTCTCTCTCTCTCTCTCTCTCTTTCTCTCTCTCTCGATGCTTTGGTTAATTCGACCAAAGTTGTGCCAACAGAGGCACTTTACTTGTTGTTGGCGGCCATGAGAGCATCAGCAGAGTGGGTAGAAGCGAGAAAGAGGGGTTTAAGGTGAGCCCGTGATAACCGAGGCACAAGTACAGAGGGCCATGGTGCGATGGGGAACTGAGAGGCCTGATGGCGCGGGTTCTTGAAACCTTTTTGCTTATGTCTGAAGCATTTTGTATGTCTCGTTTATTTATTTATTTATTTATTTCGTTTCGATCTTGCGAAAATTTTTGAACGCTTTGGAATACGGATACCGGTCTTCCTGGCTGTGGAAATAGCCTGTGGTTTTGGGTACCACCGCGTTTGTAGGATAGAAGGAGAGATGGGCATGTACTTGGACACGTAGGGAGGCAGATTCTGAGGTCGTTTCGAAAGTTAGACCCGACGAGGGATAGTCGCGATACGTCTTGACCGGCGGGTCGTGTGAAGTGCATATTTAGATCTAGCTGGTGATCGGGGATACAAGGCTCGCGAGATGAGTAGAGGTGAACGTACATGGGCATTACTATATAGCTTGGGAGACATGGGCTTAGTCTCCCTTTTTTAGCACAGAGACTCCTCGGAGTCACTCTCGTGATGATGCCTGCGCGGACAGGCGAAACCGGTCGAGGGACTGTCTGCTCCTTTCAGTTTTCAAGCAATTGTGACCTGCGTTTTTGTGAACTCGTTTGCGTGCTTGTGAAAACGTTGATGTCGGCTTGCGTTGGCTGGTCGAGCTGTGTGGCCGCAACTCTCCTACTCTTAGGCACGTAGTAACCGCCAGTTTGTTCGCGCTGTGTGGTGGCTGCGTCGACATGCGATTTTCATGCTATCTTCGTACGAGTTTCATGTGAGTTTGGTCGACATCGGGATCGTTATCAGCATCCTGATCTTCAGTTAGCCTCATGCGAGCTTCTTATCGGCATCTCGATCGTTATTGGCATCAAGATCCTCAGCCGTATCTCCATCTTGATCTTCATCCTCTACATAAGGATGTAGATTGCAGATGAAGAAAGGACGTTCGAATGTTTTAAGGTAAGAACGAGGTGGGAGTGACAGGCGGAGGGCATGTCCTCCACGGGCGATGCTCTGGTTACTAAGACATTCTTAGTGATGCGGATAAGGATCGGATTAGCGTGCTGTTGGGGTATGACATGGTACTTATGCGTTGATGATGCAGATAGCGGAGATGGTGTCGAGAACGAACATGCTGAGACACGGGTTGGAGAGTAACGGGCGCTAGGTTCAAAGAGGATTCTGGTATGAGTCGGGCTTACGGGCGCATACGACATGGGAGTAAAACCGTGACTGCGGTAACTGCGGATCATTGGAGGTGAGAGGAGGCTAGAAAGAGCTTACGCGGATAGCTCTGAGCGAAGGGTGGAGCGAGTAATGATAGGCTGGTTGTAAAGGATCACGGAGGTAACGTGTGGAAAGGATTCAGAGGTGCGATATGTGGGGATCTTTTAGGATTATGAATAGATAAAGGACGGATAAGGGCAAGGGAGGAGATGAGGGGGAGAGAGATTAGAGATATCTGGTATGGGATTGGGATAATATTATGTGGGCTGGTTGTGATATTGATTGGGTCTGTTTTCTGACATGATGGATACCCCATGCGCTTGCTGTGGGGGATCGTGTGGTAAGGGACGACGTTTTATGACCGTACGATCTAGACTGATACATGCTTTGGAGGATTACGTAGAGGATACTATGCGCCCGATGCACTTCATGATTGGTTTTGTTGACAACGAGAATTTGAGGAACGGACTGTACGATTGTTTGATGAGTTTGCTGATAAAGATCGAGACGATTCTGCTGGCTTTGCGAACAAGACGCACAATCTAGTATAGGGAGATCATTAATATTTGGAGAGAATAGGACCTTGATACTCACCTAGACGAGGATCTGGGAGGTTTGGAGCTTATGATACGGTAGCGGGTATGGAAGAAGGGCTTGAGCTTGTACGGAAAACCAGAGACCGGGGGCGCGAGAAGGAAGTAGGATACGAAGCATAGATTGACGACGAAAATTTATCTGACCACTGGACCAGCGGGAGGTGGAGGACAAGGAAGTAGGATACGAGGCATAGATTGACGACGAAAATGTATCTGACCACTGGACCAGCGGGAGGTGGCGGACAAGGGGTTGCGAACGGTCAGCAAATCGGAAATGGACAGGCATATGGGGGTGCGACAGGATACGCAGGAGGGGGTGGGAGAATGGGAGGAGGGAATAACGCGTGCGTCAACTGCGGAAAGCTGAGACACATGGCGCGCGATTGCTGGTCGAGGCAAGGGAGAAACGTGGGGGGATCACAAGTAGATCCGGAGTTGGAGCAGATCAAGGAGTAGTTTAGGATGACTCGTAAAGAAAAACTGGAACAGGAGGAGAAGAGGAAAAAGGAAGAGGAGAAGAGAATCAGAGAAGAGGAGGAGACCAGGAAAAACTTAGACTTCGCGAGGAAAGCGGAGGAGTTTAAGCAACAGCTGTATGCGAAACTCTTTGAGGAATGGAGGAAAAACCAGGCAGACGCTGTGAAAGCAACGGAGAAGAGTGGAAAATCGGCGAAGAAGACGAGGAAGAAAAAGAAGAGGCACCTGACAGAACATGGCGGACCAAAGAGGCAGAGAGCTCGAAGGAAAAGGAGAAGTAGTGATTCAAGTGAGGACTCGGAATCGTCGTGCTCCACCGATGACGAGAACACGTCAGAAGATACGTCGTCAGGATCTGAAATGAGTGGAAAGATCACACGGAACAAGGAGCGCGTGAGGCGAGGGACCGGGAACAAGAGGACCAAGGCCAAGATGAAGAACAACAAGGACAAGGGGAAGATCGAAGAGATGCGCACACCAATAAGGACGTACGAGAAAGGGGAAAGTTCCAGGTCTCGGAAACAACCGCATATAATGGAAGAGGAGATGCGGGGGCGAAATCTCTTGATGAGGAAGAGTTTAAGACACCTCTGACGGGAGGCTTTAAGGGGTTGGCTGCAGGGTGTTCGCAGAAAGGATTGATAGAGTATTGCATATCGGCACACAAGATCTTTTCGGCAAAAAAGGCGGACGCGCTCAGGAAGATATGTGAACCGAGAGGAATTAAGTACACCAAGAAGCTAGAGATTGTGGAGATTCTAGCTAGACACCAGGTACAACTAGCCTACGATGGATTCGGCGACGCACAAGGCTACAAGCTAATGAGAAAGACACCATGAAGACGAAGGCATCAGGGACACCAAGGAAAGAGTTCGTGAAGGATAGAATTTCGGTGGAGAGACCGGCGAAGAGGCAAGAACCAACCATTATTCGATCGGCTCCAGTACAGCCGACAAAGGAATCGTACTGAAGGTTAACAACACTATCAAACGCTGAACTTTGGGAGGAGCTCGGTAAATGGTTGGGTTGGAGGACAACGCTGAGGGAACAAGGGATTACCGGCGAAGTAGGTAGAAGGGTAGAGAGTGCCATTACGTCGACTATGCACCTTCTGGTAGTACAGGGACAGATACCGTGGCTACATAAATACATTATTAGATCAGTAGGTTTTACCGACCTGTTGAAGTTGGACACCGGGGGAGTGTATGTAATTGCTAGCCCTTGGACCAAGAAGGTACATGTCGGTTGCACGGTTAGACCGATTATACAAAGATGGAGAGAGCACTGCCGTAATACGTTGAGTGATTCCCTGGGACTTGCTCCACACTTGTATCGTTGGTTAAGGAGGTTTGGGGTGGACAAGTACGCCATTATACTGATTAGGCACGTGAACGAGAAGGATGACTTTGAATTTGAACGTTTTCTAATTGCGGATTTTAGCCCATGCTTGAACACCAGGGATATTGGGAAGAGGGAGAGAACTACTAAGGGAAGAAGAAGAAAGGGGAGACGGGAAATAAAAGGGGGAAGGAGGGAGATGCGAGTTGATAAAGTTGTGAACTTTAAGTTCGGAGAATTGGAGGTAGCCTCGTTACTCACCTGGCTTAGAGGACAGACGGAGGAAGGGGTGGGTGATGGGGTAGACCTGCATTGCTCAGGCGGAGAGGTGTGGATTGACAGCTGGCGGAGATTAAAGAGAGCGTTTGGGGATACGGTGCTTGAGATAATGGGGAATAGGACGACTTTACGAAAAGCAAAATCGAGCCTGTAGTCAGGCGGAGTAGTCAGGGTCATAGATATCGTACTGGCCAGGACCACTACGGAACGGAATAGAACGTTTCTAGGGGCGATCCTGCGCAAGCCCAGCCCAGATTCACAACAAGCGACTATGTCAGTAAGAAAACTGATCGGGCTATATAGGACAGCGGGCTTGTTCACTGATAAACAGACTAAACACATATTGCGATTAAAGATTGACAAGGTGCTGACCAGGAAAACGGGGGTCAGCGTGCGGAAGAAAATATGCGTGAAATTATTATTTGACACTAGGGTACTTAAGAAGGGAGTACGTACGGTTACGGAGAGGACGATAACGGGAGCCATAGATGACAAGGGACTGGCGGATTTTGTGAAGTCAAGAGTTCGGATCGTCTGGACACGAAACCGAAACGTGGGGGAGCTACTGCACAACCATAGGCAATTTGCCTCGGTTGAAGAATGGACTTGCATGTGCAGTTACTTTAATTTACCAAAGCATGAGGCACGTGTGCTGACGAGATTCGAGGATCTGGATTTGCCAGGATTTGTGAAAAATGCGAGGAACATTATGAGACCGGCAAAGGCTAATAGCGTGGGAGAAATTGCACGCGCTATCTTGGAGGCTTGTAAGCATCTTAAAGGAGTGTCAATACCTGCAGTAGACTTAGAAGAGGTGTGGACCGATAGAAGGGAGGGGACGGCGACATGGACGGACAGCGAGGTACGTGAGTGGGGTAACCATTTTAAGGGGTTGGTGCTGACAACGATAGATCGGAATCAGGGGAATACCGCTGTCATGTGCTCGATCCTATATCGACACGGGTTCGGGAAGACCTTTGCTTGGGAGGCGAACTACGAGCTCATCGGTGGATTGGATGTGGAAGTAGACACTGTTAAGGAAATCGGGGAGGATTTCCATAGGCACCGCCTGGACACAATAGGGAAGTGGAGGGTCGATGGTAAACTGGGGGCAGCGTACGTCATCCCGAAACACAAGGACCTCACCCGTTGGAGGCCCATTGCACCAGCACCAGCGGACCCTGCAGCACTTGCACAGAAAAGAGTAGCGAAAGCGCTGCAATGTTTGCTGAAGCGACTGGCTGAGAATAACACGTCTATCTCAATTCTATTTCTGAGTTGTCTGAGCAGTTGGATGCCACGACAGTGAGGATGAGAGCGGCGGGATGCGAGCGAGCGGTAGGGAGATGCTACGACATTAAAGACATGTTTTCAAGGATACCGCACGATGCTGTTAAGGACACGGTGCTACAGTTACTAAGGAAGTATGAAGATGAGGGGGTCAAACAGGTCCAGGTGTCCGTGAGAGGTAAGCTGTGTATTATCAGCCTGAACAAGAAGAAAATGGACGGGTATGTGAGTATCCCGCTAAAAAGACTGATGACTGCGGTGGAGTTTGATCTGAGACATTCGGTTGTCAAGCGTGGACAGACTTTTGTTAGACAAGTTTTCGGCATTCTGATGGGGAAGTCGACAAGTCCGATGTTGGCATCTATCACTTGTGCGATGGCAGAGATGCGATTTCTGAGGGAACTGGGATGTGACACACGGCTGGTTGGTGGATGGCGGATTGTGGATGATATCACCATAGTGGTGGGTATCACGGCGCAAGCAATGAACGAAGGGTACGAGGAGCAACTGTTCAAGAGATTCGAGTCTATCTATGATAAGCATCTGGAGATCGTATGCAAGGACGAATGTGGTTTGACTTGGGACTTTGTCGGTGGCCATATGTTCGTCAGTTGTAGACCTCTGAGGCTGCATTACACACCGGTGACTAAGAATACAGGAGCTTTGAGTAATGAAGGTAGACTGATGTTTCAAACTATGCAGGACTATAGCTCCTACTCAGCAAAGGCGGTAAAAAAGGTTGTCTTAACTGCCACAATGAGGAGACTTTGGGAACACACGACAAATAAACATTTAGTACTTGGGGCTGTTGGCTTTGCTATATGCGAAGCGGACTTCCGGGGACAACCCCCGGAGGTCTCTCTCGATGCTTTGGTCAATTTGACCAAAGTTGTGCCGACACAGGCACTTTACTCGCTGTTGGCGGCCATGAGAGCATCAACGGAGTGGGTAAAAGCGAGAAAGAGGGGTTTAAGGTGGGCCCGTGATAACTGAGGCACCAGTACACAGGGCCATGGTATGATGGGGAACTGAGAGGCCAGATGGCGTGGGTTTTTGAAGCCTTTTTGCTTATGTCTGAAGCATTTTGTCTGTCTCGTTTATTTATTTATTTAGTTATTTATTTATTTATATCGTTTCGATCTTGAGGAAATTTTTGAACGTTTTTGGAATACGGATACCGGTCTTCAAGGCTGTGGACATAGCACGGGGTTTTGGGCACCAGCGCATTCGTAGGATAGAAGGAGAGATGGGCATGTACTTGGACACGTAGGGAGGCAGATTCTGACGTCGTTTCGGAAGTTAGACCCGATGAGGGATAGTCGCGACGTGTCTTGACCGGCGGGTCGTGCGAAGTGCGTATTTAGATCTTGTTGGTGACCGGGGACACAAGACTCGCGAGACGAGCATAGGTGAACGTACATGGGCATTACTATATAGCTTGGGAGACATGGCCTTAATCTCCCTTTTTTAGCACATGACTCCTCGGAGTCACACTCCTGATAATGCCTACACGGACGGGCGAAACCGGTTGAGGGACCGCATATCTGCTCCTTTCAGTTTTCAAGCAAGTGTGACCTGCGTTTTCGTAAACTCGTTTGCGTGCTTGTGAAAACGTTGATGTCGGCTTGCATTGGCTGGTCGAGCTGTGTGACCGCAGCTCTCCTACTTCTACTCTCTCTCTCTATCTATCTATCTTTTGTTCACTATCTTTTAGAGTCTCTCTCTCTCTCTCTCTCTCTCTCTCTCTCTCTCTCTCTCTCTCTCTCTCTCTCTCT